ATTGGAAAGACTCACCGGGAGCGTATATTTGTTGTAGAACTTAAATTAAAACTTCGCTCGCTCTTTCAATATGAACAAATTGCTCGAGAAAATTCAGATATTAAATGAATGAAAGTTCCATCGTTCAGTTTAACTGCAACCAAATACCTCACGTTTCAACTTTCTGGTACTTTTTGTGAACGATTAAAATTAATTGCAGACGGTTTTTAGGCCGCTTGTCAACCAACGTAATGACACTATTGTTTATACAAATTCATTCTGAAACCAATAATTTTCTGTGATTTGATAGAGAGAAAAGAGAGGATTCATAATTTGTCTATCGGCTTGAGGTAGTGACCGACGTGATTGCTTAAAAATACTACCTAGCCGGAAAACGAGGTATATTTATGAAAAATGACAACGAAAGTTGGGATGTACTCGGCGACTCACGAAAGCGTTACCGTGGCCCGTGGGCAGAGATAGGAAAACATTTACCGCGATAATATACAAATGGGGGAGTATTGAAGTGGAGTCTTTTGAAAACAATAATTTGGATTGATAAAACAAACTTACGAGCACACGATCTTGAAAGCTTACTTGAAAAAACATATGAAGCCGGTACAAAAGGGAGGCAAATATCTTACAAAAAGGGGGTTCGGGGATTTTGTGACTTAAGCTTAGAATGAAACCATATTCTGTCCATAACTGTAAAGTTAGTTTTGTTTGACGTAAATATATTCGTACACTTTTGTTACCTAATCGACAGCCGATCAAAGTTCTCAAACTACTGAGTAAATGGAAGTTTGAAATTTCTCTAAAAAATTCAACAAATTGAGAGAGCCTACACAATCCAAACAATCATATGTCGACGAGGAACCGCAAAGTGATCCCAAAGTGATTTATAAATCTCATGTCTAGCGTTCGATGATCCTTAACGCTGGTCTCAGAATACAGAGCCATGGACGTTGACACAAAATTGAGGTCGACTGCCGGTCACGGTTCCCAAATAACTACATGACTTGTAGTTGGAAATTTACTGAAAATTTAAGGAAACTGAGAAAGCCCATACATTCCGTACTATTAAATGTTGATTAGGAGCTTCTGCGCTCTCTCGAAGACATTTGTAAATCTCATTTCAAGCGTTCGGTTTCTCTGACTCAGAATGCACGCACTAAGAAATTCAGTGATACTGCGCGGGATGTTTTGTATGCGTTTTAATCGCAAAAAAAGAAAAGAAGAAAAGAAAGAAAATAGAAGAAAAGGAATAAAAATAACATCGATTGTGAATATAAGGAAGTCATATATTTGAACTGTGGTAATATAAAATGGAATATGAAAGTATCTTCATACAAAAACCTTTAACAAAAACTTTTCTCTGAATTCCGTGGTGAACGATTTTGCATTGGCGATTTTTCCCAACAAATTGAAGTTGACTACTTAAACAAGCCTTTCACGTGAAACGTGAAGAAAGGAAGCAAATGCCTTGGATAAAATCCAACGCAAATCCACGACCGGAAGGCACAAAAATGAAAATATAGAATATATAGTCTTGAGCGTAGCAAGGGATCGTGGTTTCCCAACTTTCAATGATTTGCAGAGCTAAAACATGTTCAATTTTCCCCTTGGTTTTAGCCATACCCTACCACCGAAACGTACTCGTAGTATATACGAAACCATTGAGATACTATAACACAAAGAGGTGATTTTAAAGGCTATTACCCTGCAACGGCTAAAAGCGCAAATCTCGCGTGCGTTGCTCCGGGATAGCTAAGCATCGCTTTGCCGTTGTATATAAACCACTTTGGATGTTGAGAGAACGCGAAAAACAATTTATAAACAATAACGTGTTAGTAAAGAATTCTTCATGATAGTCTGTACGGAAAGCTTTTAAAGTTAGCAAGCATAGAAAGCAGCTTTAATTACTTGCGGAAGTGTTTTTATTTTGAAAAATAAATTCAATTGTAGGATTTTAACTGGTGGAGCTTATTTTCATTGTGAGGATTTAACTTTTAATTATTTAATAACATTACTAGACCACATCACGTATGAAAGCGAAGAAATCGAAAGACAACAACATCGAGCCGTGTTTCGTGTGTTCTGATTCAAGCGTCGTCCAACTATTTTGTTTACTCGCGGTACACTATTTTCCTGTGACAAAATTTGCTTAGGTTGTCTCAGCTTGGATTAAAATTGCCATGGAGTCGTTGCTAAAATTTACAAAAGTGTTTGAAATGCCTAAACTTGGCAAAAACTATCAGGTGAAAGTTGAAATCGCGGACAGCAAACGGAATTTCCAAAAATCTTGAGTGCACATCTACTTTCGAAGGGTTTTTTTTTCATATATCAAGTAGATAAGATTCTCAGAAATATCTAAAGGAAAATGCCTTTAGTTTTCTAGTGCAGTTTTCTTGAGCAAGAACATATCAAGTTTTTCCCTGATCTTGGCGAGTGGTTTGAGGAGCTTTAGTGGAGAGTTTCTGAAGGTCTTTCACTTTAAAATGCCTAAAACAGAGCAATCGGTGACATTGATGTTGTTAGAAAAGTTAAATTTTTGCGGTTGTTTTTGGCGTTCAAAGTGTTCTCCTCGTTTCTTTTTATTGCCACATCAAAAAATACTATAGGACAATTCATTACCTGACGAGGAAATTCCGCGTTAAATTGCACTTGAAAACCGATATTTCAAGTGTAATTTAGCGCGAAATTCCCTCGTCTGGTAACGAATTTTCTTTGACTCGCATAATAGAAGGAAAATAAGAAAAAATGAACACAGTTATAATCTTGTTTGTTTTTATCCTGGGCGCGCGCCCCAGAAAGCCATTTGAAAGTCAACTGTTCGAACTTTCATTGCGTTAGCGAATAGGAAGGATGGTCAGTCGTACACGTTTGAATCTTCGACGACTTTAGTTTTCCCTGCATGCATGCCATTTTCTGGACCGTGTTCACAGGATTTTCCAGCTTTTATGCCTCTCTAAGAATTGTATGTATTCCATCCAAACTGGCGTAAAAACAGGAGTCTAACTACTAGAAGGCATCAAAATGGTTGTAGATGTCAAAGAAAAGCTAGATATATGGCGATACAGCAGGGCTTGCTCTTATTTTTTAATTATTTTTTTCCTTTATAATCTTTTAAGTATTAGCAACGATTTTATGTTGTGTGTTGATATTTACTCCGTAGATAGCGATAATTTTTTGATACTCTGCAGCGCGAAAGCCAGATAGTTGTCTCTAAGTTTATCGGAATATATTCGATCCATAGAAGTTCTACCGAAGACTTATAGACACTTTATAAGCGCGGGATTTCCACTACTCTTTTTCTTTCCACGGGTGGCTGAGTGTCATTCTTGGTCTAGTATGTTCGACTAGGGGCTGGTCTTTGGTAGAGATTTGACTCGCGTCCAGTCCTACCCTGTTGTAACTGTCTCCAGTTTTCACAAGAACTTCGTACCGCGGGTTCGCAGGACTTTAAAAAAGGCTGGTCATTTAAAATTCTCTCTGGAGAGTTACAGAGGAGAGTCTAAACACCCGTAAGAAGCTTTTTTCTCATAGAGAGCTTGGGCCACGTGTACCTGAATTTCACTCGGCGAGTGTAGCCGTCAATTGTACTCTGCATCACAGTTTTCGTTCTTACATTATTGATAGCTTTTTTACCAGATTGACTATCCTTGCCAGTATTTCTCAGAGAAAAAAAGAGAAAAAAAAGAAAGGAAGCTTTAATGCGTATTTTCTACATTACATTATCAATGAAAAGCACAGTGTAAAGAAGGAAATGCTGAGATCGTTTTCCTTCACACCATCTCTTTTTTCTTGTCTAGTCTCTTTACTAAGTAAGCTACACTGGTTAATTTCACAATTCACAAGTCTTTCGGTGATAAGTATCCATAAGAACAGAGAAACGCCTCGAGATGCATCTTTAAAAGAAAGCAATTTCCTGAAAAACGAGAGAATAACGTGACGTTGCACAGCATATATGTGCACCGTGCATCAATTCAACGCAGAGTCAGGTCGAACGAAGTGAGTTGAAATCTATATTTTACTCGTTGCTCTATTTGGTAATAAGTATCAGAAAGATCATGGAAGGGTAATATTTTTAACGAATCAATCTTTCCTGAATATTTCATGTAGCTAAGAGGAACATGAAGCCTTAGTTACAACATTAGTTTTCGAAATTCTCAATAAAGCCGTCTTGAGATATAAATATCGTTCGCTTTAACCATCAGAATCAAGCAACAAAGGTATTTCCAGGTCGAACTGCTGTTGCGTTGATATAGATGTTACGACCAGTTAATGTCGAGGGGAACTTTTCATCGAGGACACCACGCCCAGCGAAAGGCATCAAGAATCTCACACTATCTTTTTCACTCTTGTTCTTTTAATGACTCGGTTCTCCAGTAGACGATATAGTACACAAATATTATTTTAGTTAATTTATTCCTGCAACGATTACAATGCTTTCGAGTGCGAATCCCGAACGGTATTTAATTGTCGAGACAACTCTATTGATGTAGTCGAAAAATAATGCCGAAACTAATTGTAAGTCTTCTTGTCTTGAAAAGGTGAGTATAGCAAAAGAAACCTTCGGAAATTCGGAGCTTGAGAAGTTAATCAGAGCGCTCCTTCAGCGTTTTCCATTGCTTCAGTAAATACCTTTTACGAATTATGAAAACTATTGAATTTAACAACTGCTGATCATATTTCTAATAAAGTAGACATAGGGATACAGAAAACATAAGACTTATGAAGAAACCTAATTTTTTGAAAAACTATAATCCATGCGGGAATATAACTAAAATAGAACACGATACATCTAGAAATTTTTAGCAAAAATACCTGGCTATCGGACCTGTGAGTTTATACCCTGCTATATTTATTCAAAAGGTGCCCTAAATCCAAATCTACCGAACATATAGGTAATGTTTCAAGCATCACTTTATTGACACTAACGCCTGTTTGCAGGCATTTTGTGTGTTTCCTGACCATCCTTAAGTTAGTGCAACATACTAAACACCGCCTTTAAATGATTTCTTATCAGGTGGTTGGACAACAATCAGTTGAAGGGATTACCACAAGACATTTTTAGCAAAAACACCTTGCTGTCGGACTTGTAAGTTTATACCCTGCTTTATTTATGCAAAAGACGCCTTTAATCCAAATCAACCGAACAAAAGTAATGTTTTATCTTCAAATGACCGGGAGGTCTTCTTTCCTCTAAAGCTGATGCACAGTTCCCTCGTTCCTACCTCTCCCTATGTGCCACTCCTCGTCTCATGAAATGTTAATTTTTCTTCGTAAAATGAGCAGCCCTAGCAGTAGATCTTTTTAGCTGTGTGATCACGTAGTTTGTATTGGGTAAACAAGGATTCGAAATGGCTGCTCAAGTATGTACAGTAGACGACATTTTATGGACGAAATTCCTTCTTCTCTTGCCGAAATTATTATACTCACGAAGAAATAACCACTCCAATGACTGCGCTAATATAGAAATGGGCGACAATCGACGTGAAGTCCTTTTTAAAACAAAAGTTGAGATTATTAAAAACAAACTGAGGAGCATATGATCGTTAAAGTTTAAAAAAATGCACGAGGCCGACACAAAAAAAGGCAAATATATTACACAAAGCAGGTTTCGCAGATTTTGTGACTTAAGCTTAGAATGAACCAATATTTTGCCGATAATTGAATAGTTGATTTTGTTTCACGTAAATGTATTCTATAATCTGATTACCTGACCGGCAACCGATCAAAGTTCTCAAACCACTAAATGACAGGCGATTGGAAAGAGAGCCTACACAATCCAAATTATCATATGTCGATGAGGAAGCGCAAAGTGATCCCGAAGTGATTCATAAATCTCATGTCTAGCGTTCGGTGATGCTTAACGCTGGTCTCAGAGTATGGAGCCATGGATGTTGACACATAAAATTGAGGTCGAATGCCGGTCACGGTTCCCAAATAACTAAATGACTTGCAGTTGGAAATTTACCGAAAATTTATGGAAACCGAGACAGCCTATACATCCCAAACTATTATGAGCTGATGAGAAGCTTCTGAGTGATCTCGAAGATATTTATAAATCTCATTTCTTATTTCTTTGTTCGGTTTTCGCTGACTCAGATAATCTCCCTAAATGATAATTTTTCTTCATAAAATGACCAGCCTTAGAAATAAGCCTCTTTAGCTTTGTGGTCACTTAGTTAGAAATGGGTAAATAAGGATTCGAAATGGGTGCTCAAGTACGTACTGCAGACGACATATTATAAACGAAATTCTTTCTTCTCTCGCCGAAAATTCCATATTCACGGACAAATCAGCTCTCCATTCGCCGCGATAATAAACAAATGGGGGATTAGTGAAGTGGAGTCTTTTGAAAACAACAATTTGGATTGATAAAACAAACTTACGAGCACACGATCTTGAAAGCTTACTTGAAAAAACATATGAAGCCGGTACAAAAGGGAGGCAAATATCTTACAAAAAGGAGGCTCAAGGATTTTGTGACTTAAGCTTAGAATGAAACCATTTTCTGTCCATAACTGTAAGGTTAGTTTTGTTTGACGTAAATATATTCGTGCACTTTGGTTACCTAATCGACAGCGGATCAAAGTTCTCAAACTACTGAATGAACGGAAGTTTGAAATTTCTCTAAAAATTCAACAAATTGAGAGAGCCTACACAATCCAGACCATCATATGTCGACGAGAAACCGCAAAGTGATCCCAAAGGGATTTATAAATCTCATGTCTAGCGTTCGGTGATCCTTAACGCTGGTCTCAGAATACAGAGCCATGGACGTTGACACAAAATTGAGGTCGACTGCCGGTCACGGTTCCCAAATAACTACATGACTTGCATTTGGAAATTTACCCAAAATTTAAGGAAACTGAGAAAGGCCATACATTCCGAACGATTATATGTTGATTAGAAGCTTCTGCGCTCTCTCGAAGATATTTATAAATCTCATTTCTAGCGTTCGGTTTCTCTGACTCAGAATGCACGCACTAAGAAATTCAGTGATACTGCCCGGGATGTTTTGTATGCGTTTTAATCGCAAAAAAAGAAAAAAAAAAGAAAGAAAATAGAAGAAAAGGAATAAAAATTACATCGGTTGTGAATATATGGAAGTTATATATTTGAACTGCGGTTAAAGACGTGAATATGAAAGCGATCTTCGCAGTAATGAACACTACTGAAGTTCAGGGTTTATTTGGAACCAACACAGTGACCAGCTCCCACTTGGCTTGTTAGCTCAGTTGATAGAGCACTGCACCGGTATCGCAGAGGTCACGGGTTCAAATCCCGTACAGGCCTTCTTTTCACTACTACTTAAGTAATGTTTATTACTGCGAAGATCGCTTTCATATTCAAAAATTACATCGAAACAGATTGGTCGGGGTACCAATTGTTCTAGTTTCAGTCTTTCCTCTTAAGAAATTCTTCACAGCCTACAGCTATTCTGCAAAGTGGAGGTAACTAGCGGCACCCAGAAATCTGTTAGCAATCATAAAATAGAAATCCTGATAATGATTTGTAATAGGAAACAACACCAGGCATTGGGAGAACGCTTTTCTCCCTGTTGATATCCATTATTTTCCGGCGCTTAAATTAAGGTTGTCTCCGTTGTGTCCTTTTTCCAAGCCTTTTGGGTGTAAAATATTTTTCAAATTTGTTACGGGTGACAGGAATATTTAGTGGATGAGGAGTGTGTACAGCATTGAATCAAAGAAATTGTTTCTCTCTCGAGAGATTTTGAGGTTACAAATATAAAGAATGTAAAGAAAGTTTTATGTGGCAATATAAAATGGAATATGAAAGTAGCCTCGTACAAAAACCTTTAACAAAAACTTTTCTCTGAATTCCGTGGTGAACGATTTTGCATTGGCGATTTTCCCCAACAAATTGAACTTAAACTACTTAAACAATCCTTTCACGTAAAAACGTGAAGAAAGGAAGCAAATGCCTTGGATAAAATCCGATGCAAATCCACGACCGAAAGGCACAAAAATGAAAATATAGAATATATAGTCTTGAGTGTGACAAAGGATCGTGGTTTCTCAACTTTCGATGATTTGCGGAGCCAAAACATGTTCAATTTTTCCCTTGGTTTTAGCCTTACCCTACCACCGAAACGTACTCGTAGTATATACGAAACCATTAAGATAATATAGCACATATATAGAGGTGATTTTAATGGCTATTACCCTGCAACGGCTAAAAGCGCAAATCTCGCGTGCGTTGCTCCGGGATAGCTAAGCATCGCTTTGCCGTCGTACATAAACCACTTTGGATGTTGAGAGAACGCGAAAAAAATTTATAAACAATAAGGTGTTAGTGAAGAATTCTTCATTCATATTTCGAAACAGGTAAGAACCTCTGACTCACTTTCAAAAACGGTTTTTTTGTTTGTTTTTGGCTCTTTAAAAGTTGACAATGGTTTTTAAAAACTTTAAAATGACATTGTAGTAAACTTTGTTACAATTTGACGATATATGTTTTGTTTGCGCATATGCGAAACAATACCACTTAGCCTCGTTTTCAACTCGCAATTCCACGCTAAATACTTCGCTTCGTTGACCAATCAGAATGCGATATTTTATTCAATTATGCGATTCTGAGACTGATCAATAGAGCTTTTAAAGTCATTTGAGCCGACTCGCTTTGTGTGCTGAAGAAATTTGCCTGCTACAGTTCGCGAGACACTGACAAATTTGTACACAGTTTATGTCACTTCATTCATGACCAATAGTGTAACCAAATTCGATAGGTATCCAATTTGATGATAAAGAATGCTGTTTTATCAGCCTGAGAATAAACCTACATTTTCTCACTCATGAAAATATCTTTAACGTATCGGTGGAAGTTAAATAGGAACTGGTCTTATAACTAGGTGATAAACAGTTATAAACAAAATATGAGTGTGTTTTTTTTAATTTCTGCTCCCGCTTTCCGCCCTAAAATAGATCCCTCTCCTGCCGTCTGCTCTCCCCGGGCTCCCTCCCCCGTCCCCCCTGTCCCCCCTGTTACAATTGTCTCCCTCCACTAAGGCCAAAAACCTAAGTAAAAACTGACAACCTCACAGATAAAGGTCTTACCTCAGTGGCACAGTTCGAAGAGGCCGCCTCTGCGCATGTTCAAAAATTAAATTTCCCTTATGGAAACTCAGATTGTGCCGAGTGTCAAACAGTCGTAACACCAGAAAATTTTCCCTACTCTTTTCTGCCAAAGTCTCTCTATTCCAGACATTCTCTATTATTAATTCAATATTTTCCCCTTTCAAACTTCTTTTAATATCTTTCATATTTTAGGCCCTTATACCAGAGCATGTTAAAAGAAGTAACGAGTTTATTTTTCTAGCCTCTTATTCTCTGAACTTTGTTGTTGTATACCATGCAATTGAAAATACATTGATATATTTTTGATAGGCGGTTGAACAACAACCAGCTGAAGAGTTTACCATCAGGCATTTTCAGCAACAATACCCAGCTGTACCGGCTGTAAGTCTGGAGTCTTTCTCAATATTGTTTTAAGAGGAACGCATGGAATCCAACCTTCAAAGCAGACATTTGAATGCGTGGGTGATATCGCATATTCAATATACGAAAAACGTTTCAAAGAACTTTTTCCAGTATGGGTCATATCTTAATAAAGCTGCATTAATACCTGGACTAGGAAAAAGTTCTTTGAAACGTCTATTGGTTTAGGAAAATTCGTACGCTAAATAGATTATCAAAGAAAAATTTGTAAGGAAATTTAGTAAAGGAATCATTGTATTATTGAATGTTCACCTTCGATTTCCCTCTCATTCTTAACCAGTCTAGTAATCAAGTCAAGAATATTCTATGCAGTTCAGTGTTCAGATATGTGTTTTCCTCTGATCTCTCTCCTTTAAACAAAGAGAAGAAGAAAAAGAAAAAAAAAACAAGAACAAAACACGAACAAAAACAATCAGCCTTGTGAGTCCTGTAGCCTAGTCAAAAAGTGAGAGCCAATTTTAAATGCGCGCGTCAAAACACTCGAAGTGCAACAACTGAAAATGAGAATTTCAAAATGTGATACGCACTCTTAATTTCTCTTCAAGAGTCTATGAAAAAATATTGCGGTATACCCTAAATTTACAAATGTTAATCTGAAAAAAATGATTGAGAGGCCAGGAGGGAGTACTAATCCAATTGACCAGTTCTTCCTAAATCCAGACCCAGCATTCGAGCGTCTCTGAATCATCTTACCTCAAGCTTAGTGGAGTAACAAAATACCACTGGTAAACACCTCAATATATCACGGTGGTAGATGACTCACTAGCTCCTGCGGATCTGAAAAGTTTTTTATAGAGATATCCAGGTCCCTATAACCGTAATTGAATTTAACCACTGCTGGTTATATTTCTAATAAAGTAGATATAGGAATACGGGCAATATGAGACCTGTGAGGAAACCTTATTTCTTGAAAAATGATATTCCATGCTGGAATATATCTAAACAGAACAAGAAACTTCCTAAATTATGGTTGCGCTCGATCAGCTTTATTTGAACTAAACCAACTGCAACCAGAAATTTGTTAGCGATCATAAAATAACAATTCTGATAATAATTTGTGAGAGGAAACAAAACCAGGCAAAGGGAAAAAGTTTTTCTCACTGCTGATATCCATTATTTTTGAGCGCTCAAACTAGGGTTGCTTCCATTGTGTCCTTTTTCCAAGCCTTTTGGGGGAAAATATTTTTAAAATCTGTGAGGGGTGGCAGGAATATTGAGTGGATGAGAAGAGTGTACAACATTGGACCAAAGAAATTGTTTCTTTTTAACTTATTTTGTTTACTCGCGTTACACTATTTTCCTTTCACAAAATTTATTTAAGCTGTCTCAGCTTGAATTAAAATTGCCTTGAAGTCGTCGTTAAATTTACAAAACTGTTTAGAACACTTAAACTTGGAAAAAATTATCAAGTGAAAGTTGAAATGGCGGACAGCAAAAAGAATCGTTATAGGTCTTGAGTACGCATTTACATGAGAAGAGTTTTTTTTTACTTATCATGTACATAAGATTCTAAGATATATGTAAAGGAAAATGCATTTAGTTTGTCGGTACAATTTTCTTGAACCAAGAACATAGCAAGTTTTTCCCTTCTTGGCGAGTAGTTTGAGGAGCTCTAGTCGAGGCTTTCTAAAGGTCTTTGACTTTAAAACACCTAAAACGGAGCAATCTTGTTGTAAAACTGAATTTAAAATTAAGTGATCCCGAGTTATAAACCTCAGCGCTCGGTCATGTTTAACCCAGGTCTCAGAGTACGGATCCATGGATGTTGGCACTTAATTAGAAATTGCAAGAGCACGAATGCCGGTCACGATTCTTAGATAACTATATGACCTGCAGTTGGAAATTTACTTATTTATCGATGTATTCCATCCAAACTGGCGTAAAAACAGGAGTCTAACTACTAGAAGGCATCAAAATGGCTGCAGATGTCAAAGAAAAGCTTGATATATGGCGATACAGCAGGACTTGCTCTAAAGTTTTAATTTCTATTATTTTTTCCTTTATAATCTTTTAAGTATATTATATCATGCAACGATTTTATGCTGTGTGTTGATATTTACTCCGTAGATAGCGATAATTTTTCGATACTCTGCAGCGCAAAAGCCAGATAGTTGTGTTTAAGCTTATCGAAGACTTATAGACACTTTATAAGCGCGGGATTTCCACCACTCTTTTTCTTTCCACGGGTGGCTGAGTGTCATTATTGGTCAAGTATGTTCGACTAGGGGCTGGTCTTTGGGTAGAGATTTGACTTGCGTCCAGGCCTACCGAGTTGTAACTGTCTCCGGGTTTCACAAGAACTTCTTACCGCGGGTTTTCTGGACTTTAAAAAAGGCTGGTCATTTAAAATTCTCTCTGGAGGGTTACAGAGGAGAGCCTAACACCCGTAAGAAGCTTCTGTCTCATAGAGAGCTTGGGCCACGTGTACCTGAGTTTCACTCGGCGAGTGTAGTCGTCAATTGTACTCTGCATCACAGTTTTCGTTCTTACATCATTGATAGCTTTTTCACCCGATTGACTATCCTTGCCAGTATTTCTCAGAGAAAAGAAGAGAAAGAAATCTTAAATGCGTGTTTTCTACATTACATTATCAATGAAAAACTCAGTGTAAAGAAGGAAACGCTGGGATCGTTTTCCTTCACACCATCTCTTTTTTCTTGTCTAGTCTCTTTACTAAGTCAGCTACACTGGTTAATTTCACAATTCACAAGTCTTTCGGTGATAAGTATCCATAAGAACAGAGAAATGCCGCAAGATGCATCTTTAAAAGAAAGCAATTTCCTGAAAAACTAGACAATAACGTGACGTTACACAGCATATATGTGTACACCGTGAATCAATTCAACGCAGAGTCAGGTCAAACGAAGAGAGCTGAAGTCTATATTTTACCCGTTGCTCTATGCGGTAATAAGTGTCAGAAAGATCATGGAAGAGTAATATTTTTAACGAATCAATCTTTCCTGAATATTTCATGTAGCTGAGAGGAACATGAAGCCTTAGTTACAACATTAGTTTTCGAAGCTCTCAATAAAGCCGTCTTGAGATATAAACATCGTTCGCTTTAACCATCAGAATCAAGCAACAAAGGTATTTCCAGATCGAACTGCTGTTGCGTTGATATAGATGTTACGACCAGTTAATGTCGAGGGGAAATTTCCATCGAGCACACCATGCCCGGCGAAAGGCATCAAGAATCTAACATTATCTTTTTCACTCTTTTTTCTTTAATAACTCGGTTCTCCAGTAGACGATATAGTACACAACGATTACAATACTATCGAGTGAATATCCCGAACGGTATTTATTTGTCGAGACAACTCTATCGATGGAATCGAAAAATAATGCCGAAACTAATTATAAGTCTTCTTGTCTTGAAAAAAATACGAATTTACATAAAATACAAATGCTCTTTTCAACGAGCAATTCTTCGTTTTTATCATGTAAAAACATTATCTTTGGCCCGTCAAAAGCGAGCGCGCCAGACCAAAATATACAGCGTGCATTTTCACGGAGTTCGGTCATTTTCTTGCTGACTACTGTACTCCTACTCTTGGGACAAAACTCGACGTGTTTGGTCTCTACTTCTGTTTTGATTCATTTAAATATATCAATTTTAACTTAAAAATTACTCTACCTTTATTGTTAAGTGAGCAAACCTCCGTTTTAGGTAAAGTTTTTGAGTTTATTTTTCCCGCTAGAGTGCTAAATAAACAAATCACTGTTTACAAAGATACCAGCTCTGTCGACGTGTTTTTAGCTGAAATTGGCCTGTCGCCTATATTGGTCTTTTATTTACAATCTATCCGACTGGCATAATTTTAGAGTAAATCACATGTAACTATAAATGTTGTTGTAAATACGTAAGTGTGAGCTAAATAAAATCTTCGCACACATAAAATATTCGAAACATGTCAGTTGTCGCAAGAAAATACTCGCTTGTGCATGAACCTCGTGTATACATTCCGTGTTTTGCTCGATTGCTTTTAATAGATTTCTACCACTGTCACTGTAATTAAAATAGCATGTTTGTGTAGTCCACCTGTTTAGAAACAACCGACTGGAAGAAATTACGCCGTTAACTACTGGCGTAAAATCTTACATACAGACACAACTGACTGGAAGAAATTACGCCGTTAGCTACTGGTCTAAAATCTTACATACAGACACAACTGACTGGAAGAAATTACGCCGTTTGACGACATTTGACCTGACTCACTTTGGTCGCTGGAAAATTTTCTACTGATACAGCTTGCAAGAGACCGACAAATTTGTTGAGTTTTCATGACGTCGCATCTATGACCTTTGACGTAATAAAGAAACGAATAGGAAATTTTCTTTCTGGGTGGGCATTAAATGGTAGAAAAAAACTTTGCTGGGTTCGGCTTCTCAAAGGTTGCGATTTCCATATTTGCTCCCGCTTCCTGCCGTCTCCAGCCCCTGTTCTCCTGGCGCTCACCCCCCCTCCACTAATGTAGAACAAATAATTTGGGGCGACCAAAAGATTTGATCCGGTAAATTGGCCGCACAAAAGCTGACAAGGGATAACGATTTACGCCTTTACTACGGCTTTAAAACTTCATAGGTATGGGGCGTAATTACCATAAGAAATAAATGTTTAATTATGATATCCACAATTTCAGTTATGACATTGAGATTTGCAATTGTGCTATTCCAATGTGACGCCTTAATATGCTATTTGGTCCTTGTGTTATGACATTATGCTATCACATTTGACTATTATGCTTTTACAATGTGCTGATTTGTCACTGTACCTTGGCGTTCGGCTGTTACACTTTGCTATTTTGCCATTGTATTCTAGTATTCTTCAATTTTGACATAGGGAATAGCAGTTTTTCTGTTGTGATTTGTCATTTTCATAGCGTGTGTTTCGTTATGGTGTTTTGTCAAGGTAACATGCAGTTCGGCATAACACTCAGAAACGAGTTTCGGACAAGATAAATTATTTCCTGCCAAAATTATAATTATGTTAATTTATTTCTTCTCTGTTGCCCTGTCTTGGTTGGAAACATGGGCTTTTCGCGAAAAAGAGTGGTGAATTTATAATTATTAGAAGAGGCGACCCGTGTTAATAGAGAACACACATCCCAGGGTCCCGAAAATGGTCCTCCAAGGTACGGTGCAGTAGCCAGTGCAGTGAACGGACGGAAAACCGACGGACATGTACTGGAAAATTCTCGAAATTTGTTTCAGCCGTACACGGCTCGCGCAAGGTCAACCAGTTTCTCAAGCAGCAGCAGACAGCAGTCAGCGTCGTCAGCTCCAACTACTAAATGAAGGAAACGGAACACAACAGAAGTCGGAAAACAACAGAAGTGTTCTTCAAACGAGATAAATGGACCCACGATGTACTGCATGTAAGCAATATAAGCATGTAAGCGCCGGTCACGGCTGCACGCGTTTAGAGTTCGCCTCGGCAATTTCAACGAAAATCTCAGTCTTCTCCTTAAGCCACATCTCACGATAAATGATTTCTGGAACGTATGTGCGCCCCTTCTGTTCGTATGTAGTCCGTTTAGAGCTCCATTTTGGAGTAATTTTCATCGCAATCCTTGGAACCGCTCAAGCATCACGACCCTCGCAGAGTCAACGGAGCGGAGTTACATCTCTTCACGGATTCTTTTCTAACGAAGTGACACACTCTTTCCCCTTTACGATGGCCGTAGGCTATCCAAAGAGAGGGAGAAGAGCTGGCGTGAAGACAAGAGCCGAAGAAGCTAGGAAACAGTTTAACATTCCTGTGATTTCGTCCCCGTGTTTTCAGTATGCAAATCTGCATCTAACGCGAGGATTGAATTTTAATAACCTTGTCGCAGTTTCCAAGACGAAATCTAGCCATCAAAACCGAGCGTCAGTCCATTTCGTCCCTAGAGTAATGCTAGCGAATACTATGTCCTTAGTTCCGAAGCTAGATGAGGTTCAAAAACTCTTATTACGGCTAAACGTTCAGGTCGGATGCATCGTGGAATCTTGGCTGAAACAACATATTAATGACTCTGTTGTAAACACTGATGGTTATAATATCGTCCGAAAGATCGATCCTCTCACGAACATGGCGGCGTATGTATATAACATTCAACATCATATCAAGTTCGAAATCCCCGAAAATTTACAATGCTGCAACGATCACGAAATAATATGGCGGAAGCTTAATCCACCAAGAACCCCTTGCGGGTTTTCGTGTATAATATTTGGCCTTGTTTACTACCCCGGTCGGACTAGTCCCGCAGAATCCGATCCCCATATCCTGAATGACCATCTCTTCGAAAGTCTAACTTTGGCAGAAGCTGCACTTCCCAACTGTGGGATTATTCTCACGGGAGATTTCAACCGTCTCAATACAAGCCGCCTGCAAGCTCAAGCAACTCGTGAAATTCCCTACGAGAGGGAACGCAACGCTCGATTTATTTTTAACTAACATGGGTGATCATTTTGCAACTCCTGAGCCGTATCCACCCTTTGGGCTCTCGGATCATTGCACAGTTTTCGTAAGACCTAAGGAACGAATCCCGAACCAGAAAACAAGGAAATCCATCTCAATCAAGGAACGAACGGGACAGTAACAAGGCCGTTATTTTAGGAACATTGACTAGTCATGCGTCACATATCAACCGTCCTGCGAGGAAAAGTTTAAAGTCTTCAGTAATCTAGTGGACACTATGGAAACTATGCCAAGGGAAATACTACGCTTCCAAAGTCCAAGATCTTAAAGGTGTAAGCCCTCGTTCGTGGTGGGAAGAGGTTAACAAGCTTAGTGGCGCAAAGAGTCAGAATGTGAACCTACTAAACGCCCTAAACGTCCCGGACTTGGAGAATTTGTCCGCGCCTGAAATCGCCAACGGTATCAATGAGGCCCTATTAAAACCGTTGCGTCAATTTTAACCATTAAACCGAGAGCAGGGTGTTTACCCGCTACCATTAAAGGACAACCCGGTGTTTCTAGAAGCCACCCCAGAGCGAGTCTATGGAAATTTGTTACACCTGAATAAACACAAGGCCCCAGGCCCCGACGGCCTGTCTAACTGGTTCTTAAAGGAGTACTCGGAACTGCTATACCAACCAATAGCTGACATTCTTAACTCATCATACAAAGAGCAGAAATTACCATCTGTTTGGAAACACGCGGACGTTACTCCACCCCCGAAAGTAAGACAAGTCGTAGATCCCAAGAAAGAACTCAGACCGATCTCGCTAATCGCATCGCTTTCCAAGGTTGCAGAGGACTTCGTAGTATCAGATTACATAATACCAGCCTTAGAGAGGATAGCCGATTCAAACCAGTTTGGCACCGTATCAGGTTCATCCACTGTCTTCGCTCTGTTAAGTATGATCCACGAATGACCCCAAGCAACAAACGGAAAAAGCGCATCTGTGCGTGTTTTCCCCTTCGATTACCGCAAGGCTTTTTATTTTATTGATCACGGAACTCTGGCGGCCAAACTCAAGGAAGTCGAGATCCCCAACAGTATCGTTAACTGGATCCTGGATTTCCTGTCATATCGGTCCCAGAGGGTGAAACTCAGCCGAGAATGTTTGTCTGAATGGGGAGCGGTACCAGCAGGTGTCCCCCAAGGGACTAAATTGGGGCCGTGGCTTTTTTTGCTTATGATCAACGACCTCTTGACCCCCAGTGCGCTCTTTGGGATGTGGAAGTACGTGGATGATACCACCTTGTCAGAAAAAGTACCGAAGGGGCAACAAAGTAGAGCACAAGAAGCAGTAGACCACGTTTCCAACTGGTCAGCGGAAAATTTATTCCAGCTAAACCTTGAGAAGACTAAAGAGCTTACCATTAGCTTCCGTCGTTCCCCGGAACACTTCGACCCAGTCACAGTTGATGGGATACAGATCCAAGCAACAACTTCTAGCAAGCTTCTCGGCCTTATCATCAACAACACACTAACATGGAACGATCACGTTGATAGTTTAATAAAGAAAGCAGCTGGGAAAATCTATGTCATTGTGCAACTTAAACGTGCGTGCGTTCCAGCCGAAGATCTTGTCTCCTACTACTGCGCATGTATTAGATCTTCCCTTGACTACGCTTGTCCAGTTTTCCATTTTTCTCTACCTCAGGATTTACAGTCGGAGTTAGAAAGTGTTCAGAAAAGAGTTCTGGCGTGTATTTTTCCTAGAATGCTGTACAGGGAAGCGTTGGAGCGCGCCTGTTTGACCTCTGTCAGGGAACACCACGAAGACATTACAAAGTCTTTATTTAGATCAATCAGTAGAATCAGGACAGTAAACTACATCACCTAATTCCTGAAGCCTACAGCCCTCATTATAATTCCAGGCGCCAAAGAACGCACAATGTACCAGCAGCCAAGACAAAGCGTTTTGCTAATTCGTTTTTCGTGAAGTGTGCGGCTGTAAACAACTCAAATTTGAGATGAATGAGAACCCCTTTTAATAGAACTTTAAGCCATCATATTTATAATTGTATATTAGTAGCTTGTAAATAAATACGCAATTCAGTATTTTACTGCGATGTGATTTAATAACAAACCAATCAATCTATTATTACGAATTTTTTGTCTCACATATAAAGGGCAGATAGCAGTCCCTTGCAAGTCGTTTAAAATCCAATTGCAACAGCCCGGTCTAGGCCAAAAAAAAATTTGCTTCAACAGTAAGGTCAACGCAACGGAAGTCAAGACGAAGCTAAAAAAAGCTACCCTAAGTTAAATGCTGGTGGAGGATTCGAAATACTACGACGAGGTCTGAGCCCTTCTGAATTAAGCATTATTCCTCCTCCAAATTCAGGATGCACTGTAAACTTTTTACGCGACTGTGCAGGATTGGGACAAGCAATCGCCTACATAAGACCTGTACAGTGCAATCTGAACCAAGATCCCATCGAGGCGGTTTTAGAGGATTGCCAGGTGTGTACAATTTTACAGGTTAAGACTGTATCTATCTGACAAATCGCCTTAACTTTTTAACTCCAGAAATGAAGAAGACATTTGTAGGTTTATTTTTGGTTTGCAATTACGTTGATGCATGTTACCTTGACAAAACAACATAACGAAACGTACGCTATGAAAATGACAAATCACAACAGCAAAACTGCTACTCCCTATTTCGAAATTGAAGAATACTAGAATGCAATGGCAAAATAGCACAATTGCATATCTCAATGTCATAACTGAAATTGTGGATATCATAATTAAACATTTATTTTTGATGGTAATTACACCCCATACCTATGAAGTTTTAAGCCGTAGTAAAGGCGTAAATCGTTATCCCTTGTCAGCTTTTGTGCAGCCAATTTACTGGATCAAATCTTTTGGTCCCCCAAAGTATTTGTTCTACATTAGTGGAGGGGGTGAGCGCCAGGAGAACAGGGGCTGGAGACGGCAGGAAGCGGGAGCAGATATGGAAATCGCAACCTTTGGGAAGCCGAACCCAGCAAAGTTTTTGTCTACCATTTAATGCCCACACAGAAAGAAAATTTCCTATTCGTTTCTTTATTCAAAGGTCATAGATGCGATGTCATGAAAACTCAACAAGTTTGTCGGTCTCTTGCAAGCTGTATCAGTAGAAAATTTTCCAGCGACCAAAGTGAATCAGGTCAAATGTCGTCAAAAGGCGTAATTTCTTCCAGTCAGTTGTGTCTGTATGTAAGATTTTACGCCAGTAGCTAACGGCGTAATTTCTTCCAGTCGGTTGTTTCTAAACAGGTGGACTACACTAACATGCTATTTTAGTTACAGTGACAGTGGTAGAAATCTATTAAAAGCAACCGAGAAAACACCGAATGTATACACGAGGTTCATGCACAAGCGAGTATTTTCTTGGGACAACTGACATGTTTCGAATATTTTATGTGTGCGAAGATTTTATTTAGCTCACGCTCACGTATTTAGAACAACATTTATAGTTACATGTAATTTACTCTAAAATTATGCCAGTCGGATAGATTGTACATTAAAGAACAATATAGGCGACAGGCCAATTTCAGCTAAAAACACGTCGACAGAGCTGGTATCTTTATAAACAGCGATTGCATTCAGTGATTATTTAGTACTCTAACGAGAAAAATAAAATAAAAAACTTTACCTAAAACGGAGGTTTGCTCACTTAACAATAAAGGTAGGGTAGTTTTTAAGTTAAAATTGATATATTTAAATGAATCAAAACAGAAGTAGAGACCAAACGCTTCGAGTTTTGTCCCAAGAGCGTGTGATTTACAGTAGGAGTACGGCAAGAAAATGACCGAACTCCGTGAAAACGCACGCTATATATTTTGGTCTGGCGCGCTCGCTTTTCACGGGCCAAAGATAATATTTTTACATGATAAAAACAAAGAATTTCTCGTCGAAAAGAGCTCTTGTATTTTATGTACATTCATATACCCCTGATGTTATGGTGGTCTGAAATATGGCAAAATTAAGCGTACAAACGGAATAGAAAATATAGTGTACTTTACGCGGGTGGTTACAAACGAAAAAAAAAAGTTCAGTTGGAGATGAAATATAGTTAGAAAGCTGCTCCAAGGGATGAAAAACAACTTATGAAAAAATTAATCCAAGGTAATTTTTCGTTGGCTTGTAGGAGCGTTGTGAAAATGCACTGCCGGCCCGATAGAAATTATGCAAATTAGGTACGTTTTGGCCGATTTCGAACTTTCGTATTTTTTTGCCAAAATAAAGACTCGCTAGAACTCTTGAATGTCATTTTTGAAAACAGTTCACCAAAAGGGTCTTTTGGAGGAAATTTAAAAAAAGCTGAATTTTTGCTTCTGTCGCCGAATTCTTGAAAATTACTGACAACCTCTCATAATAGCATAAAAAGGAAAAAAAGGAAAGAAAAGAAAAGAATGAAAATTACATCGAAAAATACTGGTAGGGGTAACAATTGTTGGAGTTTAAGTCTGTCCTCTTTAAAAATCCTTCATAGCTAACAACTGTTCAGCGAGGTGGCGGTAGCTCGCGGTAGATATTTACCAAGCTGCAAAACGGCGAATTAAATATCCACCACTAGCCACCGATACTGATGTGAGTAGTTGTTTTGGTTTATACTAAAACAGTGGGATAAAACAGAAGAAATTGATTTTTTTTTAACTTATTTATACCTGCAACTATTATAATGCTTTCGGGTGCAAAGGTTACATAACCTTAGATATCGATATATAAAAAAGTTGTTGAATCAAATCGCTCGAAAAAATAGCATACAATGAACGTGAAAGAAGCATCACACAAACTTCCTCTTTATTCCGTTGTGAAAGATCCATGTCCGGATATAATGTAATACTAATCACCTGTATATTTTGGGCCCTTATATCAGAGTATGAGAAAAGAAGTAACAAGTTTTTAACGAGCCTCTTATTTTCTGAACTTTGTTGTTGTATACCATGCAATTACAAATATTTCAACTTATTTCTGATAGGCGGTTGAACAACAACCAGCTGAGGGATTTACCATCGGGAGTTTTCAGTAACAATACCAAGCTGGAATATCTGTAAGTTTGGAGTCTTTCTTAATATTGGTGTAAGGGGAACGCATGGAATCCAACCTGGAAAGTAGGCATTTTGATGCGTGGGTGCTGTCTCATCTTATGGGTTATATCCTAATAGAGCGGCATTAACATTTAGACTTAGAAATGTCCTTTGAGACAAGCATTGGTTTCGGAAAATTCGTTCCGTGATCGATATCCACAAAGAAAAAGAAATTGTAAACAGGGGCTTGAGTAACAGCTAGCTGAATGACTTGTCACGAGACATTTTCAGCAACAATACTCACCTGGCTTGGCTGTAAGCTAAGATTAATAAATTATGTTGTGTGCATTTCATTTTAAAAGGGCAGTGATTTCCTAACAGGGACTTACAATGATATGTCGATGATAAATATTACTATTCGTCATTAGCCGTTTTGAAAACCAAGGGTATTCAACACAGTAACAAGTCTCACCTAGGGTGGCTGTAAGCACTTAAGTTGATTGATGTTGGTATTAACAGCACAATACGATTTCTGATTTATCGATGTATTCCTTCCAAACTGGCGTAAAAACAGGAGTCTAACTTCTAGAAGCTCTAATCTAACCTCTAATCGCTCTGACGAAGGGCTAACGCTCGAAACGTCAGCTTTTTTACCCTTTACGGTGGCTAATTTACGTTTTCAACTCAGTTGTTAACACTAAATTACCTGTTATACTCTCCCACCGACGCAGCACCACAGTTTCTCTAGAAACTTACCCCTTTACTAACTTCTAGAAGGTTGCAGATGTCAAAGAAAAGCTAGATATATGGCGATAAAGCAGGGCTTGCTCTACAGCTTTAATTTCTATTTTTTTTTCCTTTTATAATCTTATAAGTATATTACATCCTGCAACGATTTGTGTTGCTATTTACTCCGTAGAGGAATTTTAGTGTTCAGTTGTTTTCAATGCTTCGAATAAAAAACCCTCAAAGTCATTTTGTTCTACAGTATAGCTCGTTTTCTTATCACAGACTTAAAAAAAGCATCGCTTTATTGACGCTAACAGTCTGTTTGCGAGCATTTTATGTGTTTCCTGACCTTCCTTAATTGGTGTAACCTACTAAATACCGCCTTTAAATGATTTTTTGTTAGGTGGTTGGACAACAATCAGTTGAAGGGATTACCATCAGACATTTTCAGCAAAAACATCTTGCTACGGGACCTGTAAGTTTATACTCTTCTTTATTTATTCAAAAGACACTTTAAATCCAAATCTACTGAGCAGACAAATAATGCTTCATCTCTAAATGACCGATATGTCCTCTTTCCTCTAATGCTGATGCACAGTACCCTTGGATCCACCTCTCCCTTATTTTGACCTCTACTCTATGTGCTACTTCTCGTCTCCCTAAATGATAATTTTTCTTCATAAAATGACGAGCCCTAGGAAAAAACCTTTTTAGCTGTGTGGTCACGTAGTTAGAAATGGGTAAACAAGGATTCGAAATGGGCGCTCAAGTATGTACTGCAGACAACTTTTAATAAACGAAATTGTTTCTTCTCTCGCCGAGATTTCCATATTCACGGGCAAATCAGCTCTCCATTCACCGCGATATTATGCAAATGAGGGACTATTGAAGTGGAGTCTTTTGAAAACAATAATTTGGATTGATAAAACAAACTTACGAGCACACGATCTTGAAAGCTTACTTGAAAAAACACATGAAGCCGGTACAAAAGGGAGGTAAATATCTTACAAAAAGGAGGTTCGGGGATTTTGTGACTTAAGCTTAGAATGAAACCATATTCTATCCATAACTGTAAAGTTAGTTTTGTTTGACGTAAATATATTCGTACACTTTGGTTACCTAATCGACTGCCGATCAAAGTTCTCAAACTACTGAATGAACGGAAGTTTGAAATTTCTCTAAAAATTCAACAAATTGAGAGAGCCTACACAATCCAAACCATCATATGTCGACGAGGAACCGCAAAGTGATCCAGAAGTGATTTATAAATCTCATGTCTAGCGTTCGGTGATCCTTAACGCTGGTCTCAAAACACAGAGCCATGGACGTTGAAACAAAATTGAGGTCGACTGCCGGTCACGGTTCCCAAATAACTACATGACTTGCAGTTGGAAATTTACCGAAAATTTAAGGAAACCGAGAAAGCCCATACAGTCAGAACTATTATATGTTGATTAGTAGCTTCTGCGCTCTCTCGAAGACATTTGTAAATCTCATTTCTAGCGTTCGGTTTCTCTGACTCAGAATGCACGCACTTAGAAAGTCAATGATATTGCGCGGGATGTTTTGTACGCGTTTTAATCGCAAAAAAAGAAAAAAAAGAAAAGAAAGAAAATAGAAGAATAGGAATAAAAATTACATCAGTTGTGAATATATGGAAGTCATATATTTGAACTGCGGTTAAGGACGTGAATATGAAAGCGATCTTCGCAGTAATGAACACTACTTAAGTTCAGGGTTTATTTGGAACCAACACAGTGACCAGCTCCCACTTGGCTTGTTAGCTCTGTTGATAGAGCATTGCACCGGTATCGCAGAGGTCATGGGTTCAAATCCCGTACAGGCCTTCTTTTCACTACTACTTAAGTAGTGTTTATTACTGCGAAGATCGCTTTCATATTCAAAAATTACATCAAAACAGATTGGTCGGGGTACCAATTGTTCTAGTTTAAGTCTTTCCTCTTTAGAAATTCTTCATAGCCTACAGCTATTCAGCAAAGTGGAGGTAACTAGCGGCACCCAAAAATTTGTTAGCAATCATAAAATAGAAATCCTGATAGTGATTTGTAATAGGAAACAACACCAGGCATTGGGAGAACGCTTTTCTCCCTGTTGATATCCATTATTTTCCGGCGCTTAAATTAAGGTTGTCTCCGTTGTGTCCTTTTTCCAAGCCTTTTGGCTTTAAAATATTTTTCAAATTTGTTAGGGGTGGCAGGAATATTTAGTGGATGAGGAGTGTGTACAGCATTGAATCAAACGGAATTGCCAAAAATCTTGAGTGCACATCTACTTTCGAAGGGTTTTTTTTCATATATCCAGTAGATAAGATTCTCAGAAATATCTAAAGGAAAATGCATTTAGTTTTCCGGTGCAATTTTCTCGAGCAAGAACATATCAAGTTTTTCCCTGAGCTTAGCGAGTGGCTTGGGGAGCTTTAGTGGAGAGTTTCTGAAGGTCTTTTACTTTAAAATCCCTAAAACAGAGCAATCGGTGACATTGATATTGTTAGAAAAGTTTAATTTTTGTGGTTGTTTTTGGCGTTCAAAGTGTTCTCCTCGTTTCTTTCAAACCAAAAGCTTTTAGCAAATTAAACTTTAGGAATTCGCCAGTAGTAGCACCATTTGACAACAGGACGGGAAGGTATTTCAGATTTATTTGATTTTACATGGAAATTACAGTAGATTTTTGATTAATCAGAGCGCGCGTTGTATCTAAGTTATGTTATGACATGGCGCATTGGGCACTCTGACACTCTGCTACCAATACTTTATTGGGATGTGAAAATACTCGCTCACAATATATGACTATTTAACAAAGGTGACGAAGTCAAGAAGACGCAAAAAACTAAACTGAGCAAAACGACAATCACGTGTTCCAAATTAATAACAATTGTGTTCATTTAATCTCTTCAACACCTGCCTCTAGGTTGACACGAAGCATCAAAAACCTGGGTTTAACTTGAAAGCTGTGACAAAAGTGTCACGCCATTTCGAAATGAAATGGAAAAGCCAAACGTAACGTTCGGTATTCCTGTCTAATTCCTTGCTTTTAGTTTATCTAATCAAACATCCACCGCGGGGGAATTATGATATTAAAAAGTCTCGTTGTCATTGTGATATTGGCTTTCTAAGGTTCGTACTAATACATTACCTCCGACAAACCTTGTTGCTTCATGCAATGCACGTATGTAGCGACGAACGAAATTACGAATTACGCCGGTACCGTCACACCGCCGATAAATTGTTGATAAGTTTGTATTTTTAAGCGTAGCGCTGGTGGGTATTATTGCACGTTATTGTTCGCCGAGTAATCACTTTGTAAAATTATTCCGATTTCTTCGAGAAGTTGAAGCGCGAGATTTTAAGGTGAACGAACGAGAAGATAATTTCGAGCGCTAAAGACCGTCTAAACCAAAGGGGTCTGGGGGCAGAAAATGTTTGCATGAAGGGTCTCGAAAATGCAATTTTCTGCGTTTTCTGCAGGAAAATCTAGTTTGATAAATACGAATAAATGAAAATGCACTTGTTCGTGGTCCAGTTTCCCCACCTCTAGTAGTGCTATCAGTAAGGCACAAGTTTACGGCTGGCTTCAGACAGTGTTACATACATTTGTAGACTGGTATCCTGCAGCTGTGTAATTATCTTATTTTTTAGCAAACGACATTTGCAGAAACGAGTTATTTTATTTTATGCGGAATTCCCTCGTCAGGTAATGAATTTTCCTTGAATCACAAAATTGAATGAAAATAAGAAAAAACCAAAACAGTTATAATCTTGTTTGTTTATCCTGGGCGCGCGCCCCAGAAAGCCATTTCAAAATCAACTGTTCGAACTTTCGTTGCGTCAGCGAATAGGAAGTATGGTCAGTCGTACACGTTTGAATCTTCGACGACTTTATTTTTCCCTGTGCTTGTTTTTACATTTGTTTTCAAACTTTTTTTATACAACTTCACACTATATTAAGGATAATAGATGTATTTCACTGAGTTTACAAGCCGCTGATCTTTAAAATATTTTTTCAAATTTCCAAATTATTTGCTCGAGAAGGAAAACAATTTACACCTTTTACTTCTTTGGTGGCAAAACTGAAAGAAATAAAGTGTCCAAGCCAAAGCACTGAAAGTTTAAAATCGCGATGAAAGGTATTTATTTCTTCTTCTGTATATATGACAATCGACCCTGGCCCGTTTTCAACTCGCAATTCCACACTAAACACTTCGCTTCGTTGACCAATCAGAATGAGATATTTTATTCAATTAAGCGATTCTGAGACTGATCAATGGAGCTTTTAAAGTCATTTGAGCCAACTCGCTTTGTGTGCTGAAGAATTTTGCCTGCTACACTTCCCGAGACACTTACAAATTTGTACACAGTTTATGTCACTTCATTCATGACCAATAGTGTAACCAAATTCGATAGGTATCCGATTTGATGATAACGAATGCTGTTTTATCAGCCTGAGAATAAACCTACATTTTCTCGCTCATGAAAGTATCTTTAACGCATCGGTGGAAGTTAAATAGGAACTGGTCTTAAAACTGGATGATAAACGGTTATAAACAAAATACGAGTGTGTTTTTTTTTAATTTCTGCTCCCGCTTTCTGCCCTCAAATAGATCCCTCTCCTGCCCTCTGCTCTCCCGAGCTCCCGCCCCCGTCCCCCCTGTCCCCCCTGTCCCACTTGTCTCCCTCCACTAAGGCCAAAAACCTAAGTAAAAACTGACAACCTCACAGATAAAGGTCTTACCTCAGTGGCACAGTTCGAAGAGGCCGCCTCTGCGCATGTTCAAAAATTAAATTTCCCTTATGGAAACTCAGATTGTGCCGAGTGTCAAACAGTCGCAACACCGGAAAATTTTCCCTTCTCTTTTCTGCCAAAGTCTCTCTATTCCAGACATTCTCTATTATTAGTTCAATATTTTCCCCTTTCAAACTTCTTTTGATATCTTTTATATTTTAGGCCCTTCTATCAGAGCATGCTAAAAGAAGTAACAAGTTTTTTTCTAGCCTCTTATTCTCTGAACTTTGTTGTCGTATACCATGCAATTGAAAATATATTGACTTATTTTTGATAGGCAGTTGAACAACAACCAGCTGAGGAATTTACCATCAGGCATTTTCAGCAACAATACCCAGCTGAAGTGGCTGTAAGTTTGGAGTCTTTCTCAATATTGGTGTAAGAGGAACGCATGGAATCCAACCTTCAAAGGAGGCATTTGAATGCGTGGGTGATATCGCATATTCAATATACGAAAAAACGTTACAAAGAACTTTTTCAAGTATGGATCATATCTTAATAAAGCTGCATTAACACCTGGACTAGAAAAATGTTCTTTGAAACGTCTATTGCTTTAGGAAAATTCGTACGCTAAATAGATTATCAAAGAAAAATTTGTAAGGAAATTTAGTGAAGGAATCATTGTAGTAGTGAACGTTCATCTTCGATTCCCCCTTCATTCTTAACCAGTCTAGTTATCAAGTCAGGAATATTCTATGCAGTCCAGTGTTCAGATATGTGTTTTCCTCTGATCTCTCTCCTTTACACAAAGGGAAGAAGAAAAAAAAAACAAGAACAAAAAACAATCAGCCTTGTGAGTCCTGTAGCCAAGTCAAAAAGTGAGAGCCAATTTTAAATGTGCGCGTCAAAACACTCGAAGTGCAACAACTGAAAATGAGAATTTCAAAATGTGTTACGCACTCTTAATTTCTCTTCAAGAGTCTATGAAAAAATATTGCGGTATACCCTAAATTTACAAATGTTAATCTGAAAAATATGATTGAGAGGCCAGGAGGGAGTAATAATCCAATTGACCAGTTCTTCCTAAATCCAGACCCAACATTCGAGCGTCTCTGAATCATCTTACCTCAAGCTCAGTGGAGCAACAAAATACCACCGGTAAACACCTCAATTTATCACGGTGGTAGATGACTCACTAGCTCCTGCGGATTTGAAAAGTTTTTTTAAAGAGATATCCAGGTCCCTATAACCGTAAATGAATTTAACCACTGCTGGTTATATTTCGAATAAAGTGGATATAGGAATACGGGTAATATGAGACCTGTGAAGAAACCTCATTTCTTGAAAAATGATATTCCATGCTGGAATATATCTAAACAGATCAAGAAACTTCCTAAATTATGGTTGCGCGCGATCAGCTTTATTTGAACTAAACCAACTGCACCCAGAAATTTGTTAGCGATCATAAAATAACAATTCTGATAATAATTTGTGAGGGGAAACAAAACCAGGCAAAGGGAAAAAGTTTTTCTCACTGCTGATATTCATTATTTTCGAGCGCTTAAATTATGGTTGCTTCCAAGGTATTCTTTTTTTCCAAACCTTTTGGGGGAAAATATTTTAAAATTTGTGAGGGGTGGCAGGAATATTCAATGGATGAGAGGAGTGTACAACACTGGACCACTGAAATTGTTTCTCTTTTTAACTTATTTTGTTTACTCGCGCTACACTCTTTTCCTTTCACAAAATTTAAGTTGTCTCAGCTTGTATTAAAATGGCCGTGGAGTTGTCGTTCAAATTTACAAAAGTGTTTAGAACACTTAAACTTGGCAAAAATTATCAAATGAAAGTTTAAATTTTATGTTAAGCAAAAAGAATTGCCACAGATCTTGCATTCGAAGGGTTTTTTTTTAACTTATCATGAAGATTCTCAGAAATATCTAAAGGAAAATGCATTTAGTTTGTTGGTACAATTGAAGCAAGAACATACCAAGTTTTTCCCTCCTTGGCGAGTAGTTTGGACAGCTCTAGTCGAGAGTGTCTAAAGGTCTTTGACTCTAAAATAGCTAAAACGGAGCAATCTTGTAGAAAAACTGAATTTAAAATTAAGTGATCCCGAATTATAAATTTCATGTCTAGCACTCGGTCATGTTTAACGCAGGTCTCAGTTATCCGCGGTCTAAAAAAACGAAGCTGTTACACACGAACTTGGACGTCAACAAGCACTCGACATGTGACTTTAAAATCTCCTTTCCTGTTAAAGTTTCCTTATTGTGAACTGTGCAATAATGATAATAATTAATCAAATTACAGACTTATGAATTTTTTGTTCTGTACAAGAGCCTTAGTTGCTGATTTTAGCAAATCTCCAAAATAATAAACGACATAAGAAAAAAAAAAGCTACGATTTTCCCATCGATTTTTCGCTTACATGCATCTCTCTAAATGTGAAATTTTCCATTCCTACGAAAAATCTCTAAAGTTTTTTACATTTTTTAGCTTTCTTTGATCAATTCTCTTGTATGAAGAGCTAAAAAATGTAGGTTCATTTGGTCAAGTGACCGGCTAGAGCCAGAATTGCGTGACAGGTTTAGTTGAGAGAAACTTGTCACAGTCGCAGATTTTAAAAGGCATCCAAGAGAAAAATGCGGTAGTTCCCAATATTTTTTTGATGGTTTTCAGAGATGAGATGATGGATTATAAAAGGAAATTAAGATTAGTGTTACAGCTTTCTGGCAAGGGGAGATACTTGACCTCAAAGTTGTCAAATATTTGGATGAATCGAAACGTCTAAAAACGCAGTCGTTTATTTGCCTCTGTTGATTGACAAGACGTGAATTAAATTGGCTGATACTTGCAGCACACATTAACTAAGGATGTAATAATAAGTGTGCAGATTCTCAGAGTAAATGGTTAAATACCATCGCAGTGAGAGCTTCATATATTCTATATCCTCCCGGAAAAAAACCAAAACAGAAACCACTTTGTCTTTTGAGTTTTGGGGTAGACCCTTTAAACTGGCAAAGTTTCATTGAAATCGGTGAGATAGCATGTAGCACAACTGCCCTGTTCTCTCGTAAACACAATCTCAAGAACAAAAATTGTCATCCCAAAAAAAAGTTTTAAACTATCAAGGCGTCATGTTTTCCCTTAAGCTTGGAATCCCTTGCGACGTTTTCGCGTCAAACGGCTTTATGCTTTAACTTTATCTACATTCACGTTTGAATCTTGTATATTTCGAACATTCGATCTTGTCAATTTCTCATCGCGAAACCTGAAAAAAAGGAAACAAAGTCTTCGGTTAAAATCAAAGGAAATCCCGTACCGGATAGGCAGAAACATGTCTGAAAATATATAAAATATTAACCATCAAGGTGTCATATTTTTTTGGTAAACGTGGACTCCTTTGCGACATTTTCGCGTCAAACAGTTTTCAGTATACTTCAAGAGTTGAAAGAAAAAAAGAAAACAAATATCAGCCCAGTGACACCTGTAGCTTACTCAAAAAGCGAAAACCCAGTTAAAATAAGCCATTGAAAATGCTTGAAGAGCAACAACTGAGATGGAGAATTTAAAAATGTGGCAGGCACCCTTAAGCGTTTATATAAAAGATAATGAAAGTAGCCTCTCACAAAAACTTTTGAACGACAACTCTCTCAAATTCCGTTGTGAATGATTTCATCGTCCATTTTATCTCCAACCCAACAAATTAAAGTCTATTACTTAAAAAAGCCTTAAAAACAAACAAACAAAAAATAATAATAATAATAATAACCTCAGATATAGATATAAAAAAGTTGTTTAAAACGAATCGCGTAAATATAGTATACAATAAATATGAAAGAAGCATTATTTAATACAAACCTTTTTTTTTATTCCGTTATGATAAGAGTTGAAAACTTTTTAACAACAACTTTCTCTAATCACGTTGTGAACGACTTTGCATCGTCCATTTATTTCCAACAACAGGTAATAATAACAATAATCTTAAATTTAAAGTGCATGGAGTTCTTAAGAACAAAAATAATTTTTGTTTAAAAAAATTTAAAAGCCTTCAAGGCCTCACGTTTTTCGTAAAGCTTTAACTCCTTCGACATTTTTGCGACAAAAAGCTTTATACTTCAACCCAAATTTGTCTACATTCGCGTTTGAGTCTTGTATTTTTCGAGCAGTAGGTCTTGTTACTTTCTTATCGTGGGAAACGTGAGAAGGCGTCATGTTTTCTGTTAAACGTCGACTCCCTTGCGACATTTTCGTGTCAAACAGCTTTATACTTCAAGTGAAGTTTGTCTAAATTTGCCTTCAATGATTGCGGCGCCGCTGGAACTTGGTTTTAACCTTACCCGACTACCGAAACGTACTCGTACTATATAGAAAAACAGTGAGATAATATAGCACAAAGGGATGATTGTGACTCCTATTACCCTGCAACGATTACAAGCGCAAATCTCACGTCTCTCTTTGCTTCGGGAGGCGAAAAGCTAAACAATAAACCACACTTTTTTATCGGTTTACCGTCGTATACAAACCACTTAGGATGTTGAGAGAATGCGAAAAAAAAGTTTGTAAACGACGACTTTCTATTAACGAATACTTCAATTTGGAAGTAGAAAAAAAAAAATCATGGAAGTCCACCTCTGTGCATGTTCAAAGACTTAAGTTTCTCGTATGGAAACCTAGACTAGGCAGCGCGTCAAACAGTTATAACAATTTTCCTCATACTCCCCTGCCGAGGTCTGTCCATTCCAGACATTCTGTATCATTAGTTCAGTGTTTTCCCTTTCAAACTTCTTTTAGCATCTTTACCTACCCTACCCCGCAACATACAACAAGTCAGTATCGCCTGGCCTATGATGAGGTCTACACTAGATGTCATTTCATATCGTAAAGCCTTATGTATTACAACAACAAGTGATTGGAGGAGAGAAAGGGAGAAGAGAGGAATTTTAAAGTGTTCAGTTGTTTTCAATGCCTCCAACAAAAAAAAGAAACCCTCAAACTCATTTTGTTCTACGAAATAGCTCGTTATCTTGCCGAACTAACTCTTGAAAAAGAAAATTTTAACAAATTGCTTGGTTCACGGAAGCTCGTTCGCGAGATCAATCAGAAAAATTGCAAAAATTGCAAAAAATTACGAAAAATGTCTAAGCTATTTCAAATACGTTCTCCCTTTATTTCATATTGTTAGGAAGAACCCGCTCAAGAAACTCGAACATCATGTTGATTCCCATGACGACATTGAAATTCATTCTGCTGAAAATAATAGTGTATTATTGTTTTAAAAAATATCAATAGCTAAGGCTAGGCTTTTTAGTCATCAATCAGATAAACTTTATGATGTATCCACCCAGTCCACCAGTTCTCAGCCTAACTAGCCTCCGAGCATTAGTGTGGAAGAAAGGGGCGGGAAGGA